ATTAACTATCTCACATCTCCAAATTCCATTATATATGTACTTTACTGTACAATATGGTACATCTCCTCAAAACTACTTCTTACATTTCTTAAACCTCATAACCATTCATCATAATATAAACCATTCTTAAACTACAAAGCTACCTACTATCTTAATATGTTTAAGATTCTAGTTATATTGTTGTACCTTGAATCTACTTAATTCAACATATTCTTATGAGATAAAATCACCTTCTTCTTTTAACAATAAGGAAACACATTTGGGTAAAATTTTAAACCAACCTCATTAATAAGTTCTATGCTCCTCATCCATTATCCAATTAATCAATCATTCCAATACCTTTTTCTCCAATAAATTCATAACATAACCTTCTGTTTTTTTTTTTTTTTAACGGCTATGAACTGCCCAAACTTTGTCATATGGTGTAAACTTACAAAACGTAAAAGCAACACCAGAAACCATTCCAATTCTATGTCTAAGATGTTCGAACCATGTAATTATAATTAACTTAACTCATTTGTTTGCAAATCCATCAAGGAAACATTTCATATTCTAAAATCATACCCACACTAACACAATCCTTCAATTGAATTCAAAAAAATTCTGTGTCCTTGTAAGTAAATCTAGTTAATTAAATGATCTTAAACTGATATCAAAAGATCGAAATTATTCTCTATAATAATTTTTTTTCTCTGCAGATATCATAAAAATCTTGCTAATCAGCTCCACATTCTAACAACATTAGAATAGTAAATAAATCCAAACTAACTTAACATAATATTAATAATAATAACTTATATAGACTCCAAATTTTCGTCTCCAAATCTTCATCTGATTCCAACTAGTCTCCCAATATCAACCCAAAAATCACTATTAGAATAATACCACATTTCAATTTCACCAAAATCATATCCACTTTAGCCTAGAAAAGTTCAAGTAATTGAAAAACTCCAATCTTCTCATTCAACTCCAATTCTTGCTGGAAATGTAGAGAAGTCAATGATATAATTCTATGCATTTATGTGTGTGTGTGTATATATATATATATATATATAAGGAAACAAGGCTTGGAGGGATTACCTTAATTAAAAGCTAAAGAATTAAGACCCCCCTCAACAAGCTTCTCACTTCACTTTCTATTTAAGTCAAATTGCAACTTTTCATATTGTGTATAAAACTGTCTCCTAGTAATCTACACCATTCTTAATACTCAACCAAGTTACAATATAGACAATTTTACGGGAGTTGACTTCCAATACTACCAAATAACTAAATTCTCATTTACTAAGGATAAAAAAATTCACTATTTTCCAATGGTAATCCTAATTAGCATAAGCTCCACTAATCAAGTCTATAACCAAGATGACGATGAAGTAATGGATAGAAAGGATGAAGAATTCTAAGAGAAGTATCATCTCACATATACTACATTAGTCACTTACCCCTAATAGGGGTGCCAACACGTAATCTATATTCTAAATGATCAACAAGATATTGAAAACATGTGCAAGGCTAATGATGCATTGATGTCCCATTACTATACAGATCCCCACTCTTGCTCACCACTCTTGCTCACCACGTGTGTAGGCTTAGAACCCTAAACCTGGCCTAAGAGATTACAACCTAAGCTCTGATACCACAAAATTTATCACGCCCCAACCCAAAGGTTTAGGCATAACAAACGCCACACATCTATAGGTTAACCCCATAAATATGTAAGGCCGTTTTCCTTGACTAACAATACAATCTCCCTTGCAATTTTAAAATAAATAATTCCATTAACAAATCTTAATAATCTCCAAATAACAATTTCAAATTCCTTAACTAAAACCTAAAGTGTTTAACATCTCATTCCATAAGCCAAATACGCTTCCAATTGAGCTATTGCTAAATTCTGCCAATTTATTCTAACGATCTCTCAATCCCCATGCAAAACCCAATGCTCAAATTTTTTTCACCTAAAATGAGATAAAATTTGAAAAACGTGAGTTTAAAAACTCCATAAGTAGTATACCCATCCATCACAACCAAGCATAAGAATTTAAAATTGAATTTTTATTGAGAATGAAATGATAAAAAAAATTTACAATTCTTTCCTCGAAACCAGAATATTTCATTTTTCATCCCTTATGACTATGTAACAATCCACAATCCACGATCAATGATACTCAATCATCAATCCACAGTACATGATCCACAATTCACAATACACGATCTACAATCCACAATCCACAACCCACAATTCACAATCCATAGATTCCGGGTCTATCACAATACCAATGACTCAATCCTCACGAGGCTGAATCATATAGCCAGGACAAATAAAAGAAACCGTTCCAAAAATAACCATTTCAATAATATTGGAGAAAAACAAATTAAAATTAGCCACCTCCTCATGGCCACAATATCATCTCAAACTTAAATAAAACATTATGCTTGGTCCACAAATCATCTCATTTCATCATTAAAAACATTTTTGTAAAAATCATTCTCTAAGAAATAAATAATTAATAAATAAATAAACAAATAGATAAATAAATCAAAATGGGACAAAACCCATTTAAATCCATCGATTTACTTTAAAAACATTAGCGGGTATAGTTACTTATCTCAATAATTATCTTTCAATTGCAATTACCATACAGCTATTCGAAATTTAAATAAACATCAAAATAAACATAATTCAATCACTACGTAAAAATTTATCTTGTACTTATCAGGTACCTACTAAAATAATTCTATAACCCTTGCCACTTATATACTCTCTTTAAACCTAACCATTTCAACACACACTATTAGAAATTAACCACCTTAATAAATAATTTCTCCCTTGAAAATTCCTCACGCCACCCAAATTCACAATTTAAAAATCAATTCCAAAACCAAGAGTAAGATCAATTTCTCAACCCATTCATCTACCCATTCTCTTCATTCCTACATTCCAAAATATTTCATCCAATTTCCCTTCTAATGTGAAATTGTGTGACATAGGAGTCCCTAATAAGCAAATTACGGACAAAAGCTTCTAAATTCCCCTCTAATCATCCTTCTAATCATTAAAATTGAAGTTTAAGAAATGAATTACCTTTGATTGGCCCTAGTTAAGCCATATCCGTTGTGCGGGTTCCTTACTGGCGAGAGGAAGAAACGATTCTGTTCCCCAAAAAGGAAAAGAGAATTGAAACTACCGACTTGGAATTGAAACTGCCGACTTAATTTGGGTTTTTCGCAAAAGGGAATATTGCCACTTAATCCCTGAGCTTTAATTATAAGGTTTAGTCCCTAAGTTCCTCATCTCATTATAATTTTAACTCCAAATTTAGTCTATCACATATACACCATTTAAAAGCTTAAATAATTTATTTAAATCTTAAATAAGAAATCCTTGGGTATTACAATATATGAGTGAAGTAAGTTAAGAGTTAAGATATAAGAGAAAATTATCCCTATTATGTAATCCAAGATAAAAAAATAAATAAATAAGTAGTATCTTGATGATAATCTTATTAATACTTGAACATCCCTCAATTGAATAAAACAAATTCCTTTCTATCATCTCTTTCGCAAAAATAAAAAATAAAAAAAGGAAAAAGAAAATAAATGGAAAGTGTGGACAAAGTTTGATTTCATATTATTAGAGGTTACCCTCAAATATTCAGTTACTAATATCACATGTTAGTTTGGAGACCAGCAGAATCTACCGCTACTCCAGGATAAGAGGAGACCTACCCATCTCTTTTCCACATAGCCACAACAAGAACAAAAAGATGCAAAAACAGAAATACAAATCGGTAGTGACTGGGGATGCGTACATTTACATCCCAACTAGGAATTAGCTATCTAACCTAAACCCCACACTAACACCTCCAAGCTGAGGTGGCAACCAGGACCCTCTCGTGCCAGCAAAGCACCAACTCAGCCTGCCGTTTCCCCACGTGGAACCCCCTCACCTGCACCTTTCCCAACAAACACTCCGCTTGAAAATCCGCAAACTGACTCAACTGAACCGGCCTCATTCCCGCCCCACAAAAAATCTCCCTCCACGGCAGCACTGCCCGCCTCCCAGCCGTCTCCACCGCCGCCAATATCCTTGGTCGCATCAAAAACATCTCTATCTTCTTCGCCCAATCCCCTCCCGCAGCCGCTGCGTCCAGCGATTCCAACATCATCGCGTAAAATTCGAGTCCGTTGACGAAATTCCTCCTGAACGACGTCGTCCCAGACTCCATCCACACTTCGGTATCCACGAACACCACGACGCTAGGGGAAACCCGCCGCAGATCACTCAACAACGCGAAGACATTCAGATTCATACACCGGAAGATTGCCGGAGACAGCAGAATTACCAATTTCTCCCCCTCCGTAAACTTGAATGCCTTAATTAATAACATCTCGAAAGTGGGAAGAGGCACGAATTCGATCTGGAATCTGATTTTGAGCTCATGAGCAAATTGAGTAAGGTTCTCCTTTATCAATCTTGTTTCGATTACGAACTCCTCTGGAACCACCGCCGAGATCCGGAGAACCGGCGGACTGAATTTGTAATCTGATTTCTCTGCAATATCTCTCATTAGAGAAGCGTACTGCATGCCGAGTCCGATGTCAAAATCTATGATGTGAATCAACGGCTGAGATCCTTCAAGCGCGTCGAGGATGGCCTGATTGGTGGTGAAGTGGGTGAACATCGGGATGGGCGAAATTCCAAAGTATGACCTATATGCTCTGATCGTCTGAACGATTCCGTCCCAAGTGAGCCGACTCGCTCGAGTTGACCCAGTGAGTAGGGACTGGAGCGCTTCCTTGAAATAGAACGCCGCTCGTTGCAGCGGCTTGCCGACGGGAGATCTCAGACGTTGGTTGAGTCGGGCCAATATCAACTGCGCGAGTTGCAACTGGTTCGAGTCGAAACAGTCCGCCGCCCTGATTAGCTCCTCTATAAAATCAAACCCCACGTTGAAGTTGCCAAGATTATGAAGATTATCAACATAATTGAAATTCAGGGCTGGGTTTTGATTTTGAACCGAATTATACAAATCGTAAAGATTATAATCCTGATGAAAAGAGTGGGTCAACTCGCAGTGTCCGAGCTCGGAAAGGCTCTGGATATGGTTATCCCCGGACGCTGGAGAAATGGAACTTTTGATGGCAATAGCGGAATCGTCATCCCAACCCAAGTCCCTCATAATGGAATCCCAATCCACGTTACGCAGGGCATGCTCGGCACGCTCGTCCCACTCAACAGCCTGATGTGGAACGTTAACAACTTCGGAGGCAACAGAAACATCGGCTGCGGGCACGGGACTTGGACTCCGGCGAAGATCGAGAACTGAGGTTGGCTCATGGAAATTGATGTTTCGGGCTAAGTTGTTGGCGTTGTTGCCGCCGCCAGAAACGGGTTTAGGAGTTGCGGAACGGGTGTCTTGGGGGGGAGTAGTGGCGGGGACTCTCATAGCTGAGAGAGCACAAAAAGCAGTCTTTTGTGGGAGGGACTAGGGAGTTGGCTTTGAGTTTTTTTGATGGGGAGGGAGTGGGGGCTTTTGAAGGTTATGATTGCTGGCTTTTTATCTTTGCGTGTGTGCATGGGTATGGCCGTATGGGTGGTTAGTTAGTTGATCAATTATATACACAATGATCCCATACATTATGACATACATGATCGACACAAGTCAGACCAATCTTGTGTCACTTTAGAAGCTTTAATTATATACACAATGATACCATACATTATAACATACATGATCGACACAAGTCAGACCAATTTTGTGTCACTTTAGAAGCGTGAGTCCCACGTTACTGCTTTCTAGGATTCGCAATTCATTTTTCCTTACATTTCGTAGATCCTAAGCGCCGCTGTTAAAGGCTAAGAGTTTAAGAAAACCTTAGTTAGATTTGCTTTGATCCTGAATATTTATCTTGTGATTAAAATCAAATACAGATTTAATTAGAGCATGATTGATTTTATTTTGTTGGCCATAAAGTACATGTTTGGTTTAGACAACGCTTTTATAAGGGTAATAATTAAATACCACGTTAATGCTTAAAGAAAATAGATACAGACAAAAATTTTAGAAATTTGACAAAAAGGAAAAAAAAAAAAAAGGGTTTTGTTTCAAAAATAGTAATAAATTTGTACTGCAATTTCAGTTACTGAAAACAGAGTAGAAAATCCTAATTAGATCAACTTCATTCCTATTCTATAGTAAAGGACTAAACAAGTACTTAATTTACATATAATCTTATATTTCTCACCTTAAAATATACTCTATATATGACAACATTGCATGATAACTATTTAAAGTAACTAATTCAGCCAATTAAAATTGACAACGGATAAGTTTATAAAATGTGAAAAGTAAACACCCTAAATATGAATTTGCATAATTCACTTATTAATTTATGAGACTAAATTTCATTGCAAGACAAAAATGATAGTAGTATTTAAAAAAATATATACCTTTAAAATGATTAAAAATATTAATTTTAAAAGCAATTTAAGAATAATTTTTATATTATTTTTTTATATTACCTTATATATTATTTAAATAATTAATTTTTTTATTTATTTAAAACTTATATATATTAAATCTGTTAATTTATTTAATAATATATAAAAATTATATAAAAATATAATTAAAAAATTTATCTCTATATCAACCCCCATTAACTTTAATTAAGTGACAAAGAATCTTTTACTTAATTAAAGGCCCCTCTCAACTGGAAAACGACAAGTAAGGAAGTAGCAATTAAGTCAAATTGCGTGCGTTAAAGCTCCTTTGTTTTATTGCTAACCCTGCTTTGACTAGGACCCACAAAAGTCTAGAAAGCTAAAAAAAAAGGGAAAAATCATCCCCACTACTCGCATGCGTAATTGATTGTTAAATTAAAATCAAATTGAAATTACTAACTAATTATGAGTTTTTTTAAATATATATTTTAAGGATATAAATTAAATGTATATTTATTATATATTTTATTATTAATTTATATAAAAAATTATAAAAATAAATTTTATTTTTAATACTATTATCATGTAAAATGATTTAATAAATAATTAATAAAATTTAAATCAGTTTTTATTTTTTATACAAATAATTAAAAAAAATTCAGATGTGGAACAGAGAGTCCAACAGAACCGCCACCTGCTTTGTTAAGTAGGTTTGTGAATTCAAGAGAGTTTATTTTCTTAGGAACCAAACAATTCCCAGAGAGTTAAGGAAGCAAAAGGATAACGAAGAACTTGCTACCATCCACGTAGAAATCTAAGAATTGAAGAGACCGTTCCCACCATGTTGCTGCTGCTGCTGCTGCTGCTGCTGCTGCTGCTGCTCTCTTCTGTTTTCGACTTTTTTATAAAATAAAGTTGTTTAAACCCTGTTGTCCAAAGGAGAAGTGACTCTCAAGTGGGTCCCACAATTGACATGGAGTTCTGACCTGATTAGTTGAGGAAAGTAGAAAGGGACCCACATTCGGACCCCGCCGACGGCTTTTTGTCGGATATCGATGGATGTACTGGGAATCGTCTTTATGAGAGCGCGTAGAAAGCACGCACACGTAGGACTAGCTTTTTGCCTTTGCCGGCGACTGGCGAGGACAGTGGAGAGGAAGGAGAATATGTTCCATTTGCTGATGGTGCATTTCACTAATTGACAAATGTGAAATCAAATTTTTTTAAAAAAAATGTATATTATGCATTTTGATGTATGTCAACCTGTACAATTTATATAAATTAGATAAAGGAAGAGTTTTTGGTAATGAGAAAGGCCTTTTTATTAATTCAATGTCTTTAAAAAAAAAAAAAAAAAAAGACGTCCATTATTAAATATATCTAAATTTCATATTATAATCTTATGATGAATGAAACTCACATGGAGTTTACTTTACATTTTAATTATTTAATAATAATTATTTTAAATATTTTAATATTTTTAATATTATCAAAATATCTTTATTTTTTATTTTTTATTTTAAAAAAATATTATTAATGAAACAATTTTTTGGGGATGTGATGTGATCCAAGAAAAATAATTCACATATAATATTTATGTATAATACAACATGTAGCTTTATAATAATTTTTTCATTTGAATGCGTATACAAGATGTTATGTATATTTATTTAATATTACATTATATTATGGATATATAATATGATTTGATTTTGTTCTTATTATATTTCCCTAATAATAATAAAAGAAAAGTGGGGGAATAAGATTGAGAAATCTATCCGTCCATTTTACGTACTGTAAAGAAACCCCAATATCTCTAAACTTTTGTTTGAGTGATTGGACTTTATAATATAAAGCTTGCCCACCTACGAAAAGATGTTATCAAGACTTTTAGTGAGGAAAGAACATCCATTAATTTATATAATAGAATAATTCATAATTTTGTATATGATGCAGCACTCATTTCGTAATCTAAGTGTTAAATGTGGGACATGACATAACACTTCTATTGGTATTGTATGTTAAAGGTCACATGCTTATTATAAAAATAACGTTGGCCGGTGATTGTGATCAAAACCTGGTGGGAAGGGGATCCAATGCTACCAATAAGGAAATCAATGATTAAGGCTTTAATTACTTATTTTATCGCTTTCATGCATGTATACAAGGAAAAACATTAGCGGTGTGCAGTGCAATATAGTTAAAACGGAGTAATACAGTTAAAACCGGTCACTTTTTAAGACAAAAGCTTTAAAAAAAAAGGTGATCATCAATTCGTCAGAGACAAAGTAAAAGAAAGAAAACTAAAAAGAGTGAAGACTTAACCATTATAAAAGATGCATACTATAGTCCAATTAACGTTAATCTTTTTTTCATGAGAAAGTAAAAGTTTAGAATTTAAGTCATAGATTAGATGTATTGATAAGATTTTGATTGAAAAGTTTATTTCCGATCATGAAATTCATAAATACAAAATAACTCTCATATAAAAATTATTAGCTTTTTTTTTTTGTTTTTTTATAGGTAAGGATTATTAATTAGCTAATCAATGTAATATCACAGAGACAGTTTGATGGGGCTCCTAACGACATGAATGAAATTTACCAGATCATTCCATTCTATAAGCATCTAAATTGCAAAGAGCAAATAAGCATTTGACATCATAGAAATAATTTTCCGGCAGAAAATGACACATGACAAAAATTATATGATAAACGTTCCAAGTGGCAAAGTGAGAGTATTTTCCAAGAATATTATTTAATTAGGTCAAAATATAAACTTAGGTGTTAAGGATTAATAATTCAAGTACACGGGACACACGCGATGGGTGCAGAAGGAGCTTCTACAACACAAAAGAGAGGCCAGAGGGTTGAGATTGAGATTCCAATATCTATCATTCAGGTAAAGAAAAAGCTTGGGTGTGGACTAAGACTTCATTTGTTAGTGTTTTGCACAAACATTTCTCACATAATAATTTATTTTAAAATATATTTATAATTCTTAATTAACTTTTTATATATTTTTATTAATTTTAATTAATATTTTTAATATATTAAAAAAACCATGATAATTATAACACAACACAGCACAACATAGTATAATACTGATAAACAAAGCAAAGCATGAGGAGGTAAATATGGCGGATCTTCTATCTTCTAATTTGCAAGCAACCTTAAGAGGCTAGGCTGCTTTTGCAATATGGGTATTCGGATGGATCCAAATAGGATATGTTGGGCTTAGCAAAATACCACTTTGATTCAATTATTTTCAAAGGGACGACGCAGGTGGGATTCCTCCGCCTTTTTAATACGTGGTATCTGGTTTCACTTCGTGCCGTTTTGTGGACCATATGCATGAAGCCTTGGAGAAGAGAGATGCAATGTGTTGCATGGTTAAAAAGGAGTTTGGTATTTTTCTCGCCTACTTGAATGTCTGAGAAGACCAACACATGCAGATGGACCACTTCATGCAAGAAGAATATTTTGAGCATCGATCATAATCAATGCTCTACTTGGGAACTTTGAAATCATGATGATGATCATCATCATCATCAACAATTACTATTAGAAACTTTTTTTTTTAATTTAAAAAATGATTAAAGATAATTTTTTGTATTTTTTGGTATAATTTTACATATTATAATTTAAATAATTAATTCTTATTATTTATTTGAAACTAGTGATATTCATTTAATAACATATAAAAATTATATAAAAATTCATCTCTTTCAATTTTGATAATTGATTGTATTCCTAAGAATAAGGAATTCATAATAGAATAACTCACAGTAGCCTCTTTGTTTGTTATTAATTTAAACAGTAATGCTATTTTTGATATACTTACTTTAAGTTATATTTATTTGAAAGTTAATTCTTTACTAGTGATTCAGAGAGCACATCATCACAATAAATAAAATTCTTTACCAATTTTTTTCAGCTAAACTCTGAGAATTCTTAAATTACAAAACAATAGCCTGAATTATTTGAGTTATATATTTATATTAAAAAATGTTGTGAAATTTAAATTATTTTATAATTTAAATCACTTAACTTTAATTGTTAAATTAGAAGACCCTTCGATAATAAGAACTCCTTTTTTCATCTAATTATTTTTATTTTACAACTCTATATTTAAACAGTAGAACAGTAACTATTTATATTTATCAAAGACAGAAACCCTTTTTAAGCTCTCAAACATATCCCAAAATAGGATTTAAACCCGCAAATTAAAAATATAGTAGATAAACCTTTCTACTCGACTAACGATACAAATAAACCCTTCTCATTCATGGATGTTCATGCTTTTAAAGTGATATTAAACATGAAATATCGTTTAACCCATTGGTGAGAAGGACTTATTTGCATCGTTAGTGAATTTAGAGGACTTATGTGCTTTATTTTTAGTTTAGGATTTTAAATACTATTTTGAGATAAGTTTGGATACTTAAAGGAGGGTTTTTGCCTTTACCAAAAGAATCGGAAATCGACGAAGAGAAGAGGCTAAATTTAACCCATTTACAAAAATTTCGTTGTTTGGGCCTAGTCCATATGTCTAAGCAAAATCCACCATCCAAATTCCAAAGCGCTTAACAAAAAGACAACGGTCGCGATCTAATCGAATGGATCTAAACAGACTTTTGTGTTTTACCGGGGCCAGACTGTCCATGAAACCGCCACGTGTTCCACTCTCATCCCACGTGTCCAAATCAAAAGCCCACGTAGCTCTCAAAAACCGCCAACATCTTCATCCCATATAAACCGATGCCACTCTCACTCTCTTCATCACTTCGTAAAATTGAAAATCCAACCATGACGAAGCCATTCCTGTTTGCACCATTCTCCTTTCTCGCAATCTCATTCTTCCTCCTCCTGAACCCAACCGCCGCTCTCCCTGGACATGATTCCACCGCCGGCTCTATGGTCAAGAAAAGCCAACGGACGATCTTGGTCGAGACACAGTATGGGCAGGTCTCGGAAGTTAACATCTCTACCGGTGAAAATGGGCCATACCATCTTGAGTTCATCACACTGGACCCAAACTCCCTCTTTCTTCCCGTGCTTTTGCATGCAGATATGGTGTTCTATGTCCACACAGGTCTCCTGTATTTCAATCACTCTGTAATTCGTAATTTTTATTCATCAATTTTCCTTTATGATTGAATGGTGTTTCGTTTTTTGGGTTAGGAAGTGGAACGTTGAGTTGGGCTGATGATGATGAAACAAAGACGGTTAATCTCAGGCGAGGAGATATTTACAGGCTGCAACCAGGCTCTGTTTTCTATGTTCAAAGCAACGTGGATCCAGAAATGGAGAAGCTTCGAATTCATGCGTTCTTCAGTAATGCAGATGACGCCTCTTTTGTAAGAGCTTCCTGGCCATTTCCTTCGATGTATTTGGGTTTTCATTTCATTTCTTTTGTTACTATGTTAATTAAGCAAATGCAGGAGGCATCAATTGGAGCATATTCAAGCCTTGTCGATCTGGTTTTCGGCTTCCACACAAAAACTCTCCAATCAGCTTTTAAGGTACAATGTGATCCAGCATTCTTTTAGTGTAAGATTTAATTTTTATTATCAACAAAATTAATTTATTAATGCAAGTAAAAAGGGATACTAACTTCAACCTATTGCACTGTATGGTTCAAGGTTCCTGAGGAGGTTATAGAAGCAATGAGAAACACGACCAGGCCGCCGGTGATAGTGCACGTGGCGTCGAAGAAGAGAATGACTTTCAGGGAATTGGAAGCTCGGTTCTTGAAAACCATTCTAGGTGGAAACAGGGGTGACTTTTTCGACTTTGACAATAAGAAGAAGAAGAAGAAAACAAAGGTATATAACATCTTTGAGGCAGGGCCAGATTTCAAGAACTGTTATGGATGGAGCGCAACAGTGGACAGCCAAGACTTGCGCTTCTTGAAGGGCTCAAATGTTGGTGTCTTCATGGTGAACTTAACAAAGGTCAGTTGAAATTAGACTTGGTAAATGATAAATGTTTTTTTTTTTTTTAAAGAGTTCATATGAATTGAAATGATTGTATTTTTGTGAATTTTTATGAAGGGTTCAATGATGGGGCCGCATTGGAATCCAAGTGCTACTGAGATCGCAGTAGTGTTGCAAGGGGAAGGAATGGTTCGGATGGTTTGTTCGAGCAGGGGTAAACAATCGAAATGCAAGAACATGAGCTTCAGGGTTAAGGAAGGAGATGTGTTTGCAGTGTCGAGGTTCCATCCTATGGCTCAGATGTCTTTCAACAACGATTCATTGATTTTCATGGGGTTCAGCACGACAACAAAGAAAAACTATCCTCAGTTCATAGCAGGAAAGAGATCCGTTTTACAAGTTATGGACAAAAGAATATTGGCTTTGTGTTTCAATGTGACAAACACAACGCTTGATCAGATTGTGTCTCAACAGCAGGATTCACTCATATTGGATTGCACTTCTTGTGCTGAAGAGGAGGCAAGCATAATGGAGGAAGAAATCCGAAGGGAAGAAAAGAAGGAAGAGGAGAAAGCCAGGAGAGAAGAGGAAGAAAGACAACAGAGGGAGAAAGAACAAGAGCAGAAACAAGAAGAGGAAGAAGCCAGGAAGAGAGAGAAGGAGGAAGAGGAAGCAAGGAAAAGGGAGGAAGAGGAGGCTAGAAAGAGAGAAGAGGAAGAGGAAGAAGAAGCCAGGAGACAAGAGGAAGAAAGACGACAGAGGGAGAAAGAACAAGAGCAGAAACGAGAAGAGGAAGAATCCAGGAAGAGAGAGGAGGAAGAGGAGGCTAAAAAGAGAGAAGAGGAAGAGCAAGAAGAAGCTAGGCAAAGAGAGGAGGAAGAGGAAGCCAGGAGACAACAAGAGCGAAAACGAGAAGAGGAGGAAAGAGAGAAAAAGATAGGAGAAGAGGAAGGGAAACAGTGGGAAGAAGAAGAAGCTAGTCAGAGGGCTGAAAAAAGGAGGCGAGAAGAAGCTAAAGCTTGGGAGCAAGAAGAGGTCAGAAAACAGGAAAAAGAAAGAAAAACGATGGGAAGGGAGGAAGAAGAGAAAGAAGAATGGGGAGAACCAGAGACAACGCTGAAACGCGGAGCTTTTTGGATCTGATCAAAGCACGTAAATATTGAAGTTTCCATCCTGCACTTTTCCGTTTTCCACTTCCTGTTTAAGTTTTCAAGCTTTTTTTTTTTTTTTTTTGGTTTTACTGTCCTTTCCCAGTTTAAGTTTGATGTTTTAATCAGCTGTATGAACAATGCTTCTTCATGTTGGCCTTATCGTTTGAATTACGGTTTTCTTTCTTTGTTCATCTTTACTGCAAATCCTTAACATATGTTGGCATCAATTATTCTCAATTAACATCCGGAGTTGTGAGCGGTAAAAGAAAAAGGGAAAAAACCATACGCACACAAACATTCAGAGAATAATTAAAAAGACCATCCTCAGATTGCGCAAAGATGGTGAAAAGTGTCAGAATAGTCTGTTAACACCATAATCATGCTTTAAAGTTGCAGAAACAAAGAGCCATGAAATGCTTTCAATAGGCTGTTAAACAAAATTCTTTTCCCACACTATTCAGTCATGGCATTGGCTTCCTCAGTCCTCACATTCAACCTAAATGTCTCTTCACTTGTAACTGAGGGAGTGCAGTCAGCAATGTGTCTCTCCCATGGAGTAGGGCTGGACAAAACACAAGCAAGGACCAAATTTTGGGTAAACAAAAATGAACACATTAAACCAATTCACTAGGGCTTGGTGCTAAAACCTAAACTACAGAGACAGACCCCACCCCGCCACCAAGATGGATGCAATAACTATAAATGAATAGGTTCAACCATTTTGGAGAAGATACCTCAGATCACATATTGGTGTTGCTGGATACATACGAGACAATAACAGTGATGTCATCAAGCTTGCCACCATAGTAGCGGAACCCAGCATCTTGAGCAGCAGTAGCAAATGGTGTCTGCCAGTTCCTATCCTCTGCTCGCTGGCGGGCCAAGGCTACTATCTTCTGCGCTGTATCTTGGGGACCAAGGCCAGCTCTTACAGCATGAACAACAACAGCAGTAACTTCACTGTCATACAAGTTATCAAATAAGCCATCTGTTCCAGCAACAATGACATCCCCAGGCAAGGCGGGAATTGTGAAAACCTGAATCCAATGTTGATTCCAAATCAGATTCATGGCACTGACTTGATTACTCTTGATAATTTTATATTTTAAACAAACAGACATATGAAGAATATGCATACCCACGTCTTGGACACATCACAACATGTCATCAAACATGAGTTGTAAAGGGAATACGGAATACCAAAAAAATGTGGTTCAAAAGAATTCATTAGTTCCTAACATGATAGATAAAAGGCCATTAATTTTCTTCTTTTTCTTTTGCTGGCGTGAGCAGCAGCCTGTTAAGTGGTGCAGATGTGCAACAAGAAGAAGTCCAATGGTCAAGTTTATAGATTTTATTGATAATATGAAGTAAACAATTCAAAAGAGAAAAAAAAGAATGAAAAATACCAAAACAAAGTCAGGATTTTACACCATAGTTTATCTATTAAATAAATAGCACTACAATACAAATGTGAAAAGAATCTTATTCCAATTCCCTCACATTTCAAGTCAGGTTTTTAGTTATTGATTCATGAACTAACCTGACCAGAGCTTGGCAGGTCACCCTTGTTCCCACTCTCCAGCTGATATGGAAAATTGAAGCCATGTTGCTGCACTGGGGAGTGGAAGACGGTGCATCCATCTCTAATCACTATGAATCCACTGTCCCCTAGGTTTATTGCATGTATTCCCTATCAAAGGAAGTAAGATGAAACCGGTACTTGCTAAATCAATTTGATACAAACACATCTAATGAAATTATAATAGTTGCAGCTCTCAAGACTTAGATTCAGAAACAAATGAACCAGAAAATTAAAGACACCATAAACTAGAATAATATGATCTGATGGATCTAAGAATTAAGCATCCACTGCCAGTAAGTAAAAACCTACCTCATTTTTGAGGACCATGATGCAGGCTGTTGAGGAACCTTCGGCCTTTGTCCTTGAGTAGGCCTTCTCTAATACTCTGGCTGGGTTAATGGAACCCTTTGATTCATCTTGAATTGCTGCTCTCGAATTAGACATAAGTTTGCGAGCAAATTTTCCAGCATCAATACCAACTTCAGCCCAGCCCCCTACCCCATCCGCTACCCCAATGGCTTGTTCATCCACACAAATGAAGTGAGCATCCTCTCCTCCGGTTTCTAGCTTAGCAGGGTGCGGGAGATAGCATGAGCCTGAAAGCAGCTTCAAGGTTGTCTTGCCTAGAGTAGCTCTGAAATCAACACCCAACAAATTATATTAGGGGACATATTGAGACCAAATAAGCCAGTTGCACTTTGTTTTTGAACAAGAAGCACTTTTTCAAATGCTACAAAGTTCATTTCTGGAGTTTGCAAGCACCAAACAAATATTATTTCACACTGTCCCAAAAGAAGGTAAAAAACCCCTTGTGTGATGATCTGGGGGTTGTGGTGGGATAGATAGACAAGGCAGCATATTAACAGTAAATAAATAGAAGGTAAAAGTACATACTGGTCAGAAGATTTTTCAATCTGTTCTTCCTTGGAATTGGAATCAAACACATCAAGAGCAGCCCTGGTAGAGAAACATGCCAAAGAGGAGGTGTGATGACTTTTTAAAGGCAAATGACGATCCGATTGTTCCTGTATTTTTAAGCTCACGCTAGCTTTCAGGCAACCGATACGGCTTTGATCAGCAAAATAAACACCAGTATGTTTCTTGGAACTTAAGTCAAGCCTTGTACTTGTAACCTTGTCATCTATATAAACATCTCCAAAAACAGTCTTTGAACCAGAAGCAGCCATGGTTTGCCCCCTATTGCATGACTTGCTTAGGGTAAATAAAGTAGTATCAGATAACAAATGAATTGAACAATATGACAACCCAGAATCCTCAGACAACAATTTACCCTGTCTAAGCTGCAAACCTGTGGAACAATTACACAGACTGCCTCCTCTCTCAGCTACTCCCCTTCTAAAACTGGTATATATTACAGGGGGTAGCTTAGAAAGCACGGCAGATGGCATCTTTGCCCTTTATATCAAATACCCTCAATTCAATCACAGTCTGGGAGAGGGGAAATGTCAAACCTCGTACAGCATATTGAAGATTACACATTTACACAGAACTTAACCAATCAGAAATGTTCGCTAATCCTACAATGAAGCATACGAATTCCAAACCTGTAAACAGGAAAACAAATCAAGGGCAAATTCTAAAATTATTGTAAGTTGGTGACTAACTAAAACGTAGAAAATATTCATAATTTGAAAGAGAATTTGAATTGGTCCTCCATGTGAAAATTGTGCATGTGGTTTTATTTCTCTTCATGCTTTCTTACATATGAGCAGCCCTAGGATGAAAGATAGGAAATAACAATTAATTAAAAAACTAAGGTTACAATCAATATCAAATTCTATTAATCAACAAATTGATATTCCTTCCTTCTATAATTGGATCAATCATTATATGATTTGATCCTCTTCTTTCTTTCTTTTATAATAGGATCAATCATTTTATAATTTGATCCTCTTTGTGTATTTTAAATCCTCAATGAGAAAACTTCCCACTCAACACTCCAAACTAATATCAAAGAAGCAGTAGACACACAATTGCAAATTGCGACGAAGCCCTACCAATCGAAAACCCAATTTACCAAACATAAAAAAAGAAAACACAATTAGAAAAGAAGAGAGAAGGTGCAAAAAAAAGAACCTTCTAACTTGAATTTTTTTCCGGGGGAAGTGATGGACGAGAAAGGCGGCTATGGCCTAAGTTCCGACGATGGCTCTGACAGGAATCGAAGGTAGCCGGAGCTTTCTATCCGTATCTCCGTCGATTACAGTTGGCCGCCTAAACTTCAATTCCTGCGAACAACCCAAAGCGAAAACCCGTCACACGTTTCGTTTATCTACGGCTACCACAAACACGTTGCCAACTTCCGGGACTGACAGTCGTCCTTTTTTTTTATGACTCAACTGACCCTGATAAGTGACAAATGTCAACACGTCATTCGACCACGCTACTATGCCGAGGGGTATTTGAGAGATTTAACTTTCTAAAATCTTTTCAATTATGCGCGGGTGGGCGTCGAAATCTAAGAAGCGGGATCCGTCGAATGTTCTTTTTTAGAAAAAATTTATCCGAAATGGATACGCCAGTTGGATTTTCAGGGCCCGTTAGATTAGATGGGGTTGCTAAGAAAACTTTTATTGGAAAATTAATTAAGGAGTAATGATAGGGATGAGAAAATTTAGGGTGAAAAGTTATGATTAATGATATAATTTATAAGGTTAAGTATTTATCTGTCTTATTTTT